CTTCATATGATAAAAAAAAAAAAAAAAAAAAAAAAAAAAAAAAAAAACCGTCAAGTGTTGCACCACCTTGGATAGATTTCATAAGATAAAAAAAATAGGTAAGAATTCTACTTTCAATCAAATTAGGATAGAATTTTAGAATAAGATTATTAGCTTAGAGTTATTTCTTCGATAAAATACCAAATAATAAATTTATAATTAGGCCACAAGACAACATCTTTTAGTGTTTTAATTTTTCTCCAAGTATCAATATAGATTGACTTTGTAGCAAAAATAGTTAATTTAGAATTCTATTTTCAATCAAATTGAATCATAATAGTATAATTTTATCTTAAAAGTCCATAAACTACCCGGGCATCACCGGGGCACAAAACTAGTATATATATAAAGGGGAGTTTTTCCCCGAGCTTTTAGAGAGCCACGTAGGATTTAATTTTCTTAACGAGCTATGTAGGATTATAAATTTAAGAGCCAATTAAATAAGAGATTATTAATTTCTTTTACAATTATATAATTCAAATGACACATAAGAAAAATTGACGAATGAGATTTTAAAGTTCAAATTAATTAAATACAAAATATTATCTTTTGAAATTAGGAATTTTATCTAATATTTTTAAACTAATATAATAACAATTTTAATCACATAAATATGAAAAATTATTTTTAAAAACATACTAACAAACCGTGCATCACACAAATTTTAGTTGTAACCAATTAAATTAAAAGTTATTAATTTATTTAGAAATAATTAACTTAAATGCCACGCAAGCAAAATAAGTTTAGTTTTAATAAATATAATCATAACTTTTAATGAATATCGTATAATTTAGTTTTATTTCCATCATAAAATTCGTTTAAAAAAGTTCTTTAAAATAACATCTAATTATTTAGTTTATAAAAATAATAGAGAATAAGTAAAAATAAGTAATAATTAGTAAAAAATAATTTTTGTAGAATAAAAACATAGAAATCTATTTACAAACAAAACTACAAAAAGTACACTATTATATATATGATATATAGGGGTGGTTATTGGGCGGGTCATTGCGGGTCATAAGCGGGGCAAGTTGATTGCGGGTCATGATGATTATTTAGTGGGTGAGGGTCGGGTTAGGGTCAATAAAGGTTATGGTCGGGTTAGGGTTGGGGTATAAGTGAAGTGGGCCATTAACGGGCCTTTACCCACATACTTCCATTTAGCTGCTAATATGAACATGAACAAAAAAATAGCAATGCATATTCACATCAAAAACCCAGAAAATATAAAATATAAATATTACTTAAAAAACAAAAATAAAACCCCAAAATTCCTGATTCATCTTTTCAATTTGGTTTAATTAAAATAAAAAATTGTGATTGTGAATTGGAATTTTAATGCACTGTATATAAGGTACCAACCACCTCTAGCACCACCAAACCAACGCCATGAATAAGATAACTCATACAATTTCTCTTCATTTTCTCTCTCCTAGGGTTTCCACTTCTTCTCTTCTCCATCAATGGCGTCCAAGCCATGGCTGCAACCTACTACTACGTACAATCCATAAGAATCGTTTTGGGATTCCGACGAAGATGCGCTTGATCCTCGTTGTGGTCATACCCTTACCACCGTCGCAGCTACTAAATTTGGATGCTCGAAAGCTCGAAAATGCTGATTAGATTACTCTTAGGAACGAATCAAATATGCAAGAATTTGTAAATCAATTGAACAATTTTAGGGTTTTTAAGAGGGGATGAACGAAATTGGATTTTTTTTTTTCCTTAATTCGTTTTAATTTTTTTAAAAATTGGGTTTATTCTTTCTAACAATTTGGCCCATTAAATTAGCCCTTTAACTTTTCTTTGATATTAATGGATTGTCAATAAAAACCCTTTATTGACCCTATATCTTAAAGTCTTTCAATGACCCTGTCCATTAAAACATTAAAGGCTTTAAACCCTTTAAATTTTGGCCCGACCTTATTATCAATGTGTAGCCCTGTCCAATAACCACCCCTAATGATATAGTATGTTTAAATATCTTTCATCATCAAAAGACATTATACGTCCATATGTAACATTTTAACCTAATTTTATCCTAAAATTTTATTAACAATTTGGGCATCATCCAATTCTTTAAAATGTGATTCATTTATAATATATGTTAATAAAAAAATAGAAAATCATTTAAAAAATTGAAAAATAAATAAAATAAATAATAATAATAATAATATAATAATTTTATTGTGCTTAAAATACTTTCAATTCATTAGAAATAATTTAAGTGCAATAAATCAATATCAAATTAATAATATCATATAAATCTACCTACAAATAAAACTACAAAAAGTAAACTATAATATAAATAAGCGATATGATATTGTACGTTTAAATACTTTTACATTGTCAAAAGGGATTATATAATCATATATTTTTTGACATTCAAACTAATAAGTTTAGGACAATCCGGACATCGCCCGGGAACAAAACTAGTATAATATCTACATAGTTTTAATGTAATTTGTTAATTAATAAATAATTTTAATATAATTTATTTAATTTTAATTTAATTTTAATTTGAGTATAAAATTATGATTTAGTTTGATTTAAGATAAAATATGTGCAAATAATATCTTTTGGATTATTAGATTAAGTTTATAGTTAGTCATATCGTCATCGAAATTATACTAAGCGTTAAAGAGAAATATATATGTGCATATCAACAAAACGACAAGAGTTGTTTGTCAAATTTTTTTTAATAATTTTTTATATTAATAAATCATATACGATTTATAATGGAAGAAGTTTCCAATGGGTTAGTGCCAATGAGTTAATGTCAACCGACTACGAATATCAGTTGGAGCATAACATGTAGAATGTGAATAATTTCATAAATATTTCGATACATACAATAAAGTGATTGAATATACTGAATGTATTATGATTTAAAGTTAGCCAAAATTGATTGATTTTGTCATATTATCTATTTTGGGTTGATTTATGTTTTTCTATCTAATGCATCTTTTTAATCGATTATATTCTTATGGGTAGAAACATATTATTAGGCAAAATCCAGGAGTGCGCGAAAATGGTGTAATAAATGGTGTAATTAATATACAAGTATGAGAAAAAGGCAATGGTGTTTTAGAGAATGATGTTTAGGGTCAGGCTGAGGGTTAGTGACGTAATTAGGAAGTTTGGAAAGGAATAAGCAAATGTCGAGATAGGAAAAGGAGGAGATAATATCGTCATCAAAATCGTACTACGGCTCAAAGAGGAATATGTACACATCAGTGAAACTACAAATGTAGCTTGACTACCAATCAACTTGTGCCAGCCGACTACACCTATAAAGATGTTTAACCTGCATAAATTAGCTGCTTTTTGGCTGCATAACGAGTGACAAAAATGAAGGAATTATGTCTTCGATAAGTGCAATTACTAGATATATCAAGGATACTATTATGGAGATAATAAGTTCGTTCTTTTGGGTCGTCATTGTTTGTTGCAAGATATGATAAATGATCTTTAGGCTAGTATACTATATTTTTAAAACTCTATAAATTCACCATACAGCTTGAGTTTTACAAAAAATATCACCAAATGCCCTTAATGATTAACTGCGACTAACTCTTTTAGTCATTAAGCCTAATTATGCCACATGGCAAATTTTAATTAGTTTTCTTTTAAATTATTAAATTAATTCATTATTGTAAAATGAAAAGGAAAGAAAACACCGTCAGCCACCCTCCCCATCTTGACCGGCGCTAAGCCCCTTGCTCCACACTCGTTGTCGGCACACAATCCCGCCAAACCACCTCCACTCTTTCCCCAACCTCGACGCTCCATTTCTCTCATTTCCTGCAGCCCAAACCCGCCGAAAAATAGGCCCTTCTCTAAATCAACCCACTGTCCCTTAATTCCGGGACCCCCAAACCCTAAGCCCCACCTAAAACTACCTAAAAATCCAACCATCCAAAACACTAAATTTACCCATTTTCTAAGTGGTTGAATTGGTTTTTTGGGTGGGTTTTAGGGTTTATGGGGCTGGAAATAGGGAACATGGGTCAATTCGGGGTGTAAGCTATTTTCAAGGTGTTTCGGGTGGGATTTGGGGTTAAGGTGGGGCAAATGGGAGGAGGGGTAAGGTTCAGGAGAATGGGGTAGGCTGCATGCCGATCAATCGAGGCTAGGCAATGTAGAGGTAAGGGGGTCATGTTGCTTAGCCGGGAGTGGGGGTGAGGAGGTTAGGGTGGCTAGTTGGGATGATTGTTTTTTGTTTAATAAATAATCAAATACTTCATAATTAAAATGTTAATTAATTAGTGGTTGCCACGTAGTATTCTAAGCCATAATGACTAATGAAGTTGACGTTCGCTAGCCATTTGGACATTTGGTGACATTTTTTGTAAAAATCAAGAATATAAGGTGAAATTGAAAAGTGTTATGAATATATAAAATAAATAAACAATTTATTCTTGGTATATGATAAAAAATTAAATTAAATCAAATCTAAAAATACTATTAAATAAATAAATAAATAAGGTATGCATTAATTTGAAACGGAGTTGTATATAGTATGTACAATCCGAGTGTGTGATCCATTCGACAAATCAAAGTGTAAAAGCATCTCCAATGGTAAGCTAATTGTTAAATTAGCTTGCCATGCCACATATGATTTTTAGCTAGTTTTTTTGTAGCTTTGCACTCCAATGATTAGCTACTAGCTTGTTGATTAAATAAGCTTGATTTTCTCAATTAGCTTTATAAATTTAATTATTTTTAATATGTTAATCTCTAAAATTCTAAAAAAAATTGAAATATTTTTTTCTCAGCAAGCTAATTTGCTTGAACAAGCTAATTGTAATTTTTAACTCCAATGATCTAACTAGAAAATTTTGAAAATTATAAACAAGTTCCTAACAATAACCATTGGAGTTGCTCTAATAGGCTTTTTATGAGCTTGTTTGTTAAAAAAAAAAAAAAAAAAACAAAAAAAAAAAAAAAGTAACGGACAAACGGCCTATAATAAAAGGTAGCACGCCAAATGAGCAAAATGAAAATCAATTTTGCCTTCTGGCGCTACGTTTCATGTCGGTGAACTTCTTTCGCGGCAATTACAAAATCAAATTCCTAGGTTTCCTTCTCAATCAGAATTCGGCAGAAATTCGAGCGCAAAGGTTAGGGTTACATAATTAATCGATGAATTGATGATTATTTACTTGTCAATTATACAGTAATCGATGCAATTGATTGGATTTTAATCGAATCGCATTTTAATTTTCGAATAGACTTATCGTTTATGATGAATGTGGTGTTTTTGATTCGCACAATTTTGTTTTTAGAGTATAAATATGAAATGAAAGGAGTGTAATGTTCTACTCCGTATTATGATTCTTGATTTTACCGATTGAGATAAGCTAGGGTTTATTTTAATTTAATTTCCTTACTATTTGGTTGAGCCTGTTTCTATTTTTAATTTCAAGTATAATTAAAGGATAAAGATTAAAGCACCTTTCTAATACAATTATCTTATACTAGAAGAATTGAGTCTAATGTCTTATTTTTGATATGCATATCATGTTTTTGATCTTGTGAAAGTGACTTTTTAATTTTTAATTGCAGAATAATAAATTATTCTGTGTTATCTACTCCACGTATACAATTAGCGAAGTGTACAACTAGGATTCAGCAAATCTCCTGTGCTTTAGTGGAGCTGCGTAGGTGAGATGACTTTGATCCTCCGTTATCCATAGTTTACGATTTATAACTAACACGACGAAAATCTTATTACTATATCAGTAAACAGTTCAGGGAGCCAACAGATGCACTATTTCAGTATTTTTTAACTGATGTGGATATATTTGGGAGAATAATAACAAGTCGAATAAATTTGAAATAAGTTTGCAGCAGTCCAATAAATTTAGCTTGGACAGTCTTATCTTTTTATGTGTATTGCTGTGAAAATTTGCTGAAGCTAAATTGCTTAAACCTAATTATAGTAGCTCTCGTTGTCTCAGACATACCATTGCCTCCACTGATATGGCCATGAACAAAACTGAAAATATAATGTACTGTTTCGTGCATTTTGCTCTATTCCACCTTGTTGCAGTATTACTTGTATTAGCCAATAGGCTGTTTTTCTTGTACACAAGTTGGTGCATGATCTAAAGTCTTTGGAGGGTTAAGTAGATAAACTGAATTCTATAATATACTGGTCCATGTGTTTTGTTCTGTTCCTAAGTCAATGAAGAAATTTATTTTAGGACATAAGAAGAAATTACAAACAGATTAACAGAATAATTTCTGCATCTTTCAGAGTCGAAGTGGAAGTTTATTTTGGGATGGATGGGGTAGCATACATGAACCTAAAGCATACAGATAATTTAAAAATAAAAAAAAATGGTTTTCTTAGTGGTTCTTGCTTCTATTACTGAAAAGAAGGAAATATCATGCAATTTTATGATACTGTTCTGGATTCTATTTCTTTTTTCTTTCTTTTAATTTGGAATAATTAAACATAAAGATTGATGATTTGAGGGGAAATCTTGTCTTTTTAGAAAAGTATTATATTGGCTTGTTATCAACAATATGCCTTAAAAAAATCTTAGTCCTACCGGCCAATCTTCTGACTGCGTAAAAATTATATGTTAACTATGAAGCAAGATATATACTCGTATCTTAAACGAAGTATATATTGCTGCTTTATTGATTAATAATATATCAAATAAAACTGATATACTTTTTCTTCCTTGGACTACCCTTCAGTAAAAGTTACAAAGATTTAACCATCATCTATCCCTTAAGGATCAATCTAAACTGGTAAACTTATGTTGTCTTGCAGCAGCAGACTCCTATATAGACATGCTTTTTAGCAACAAAATATGAACAGTGAATAAAGACTTTAACTCCAATTATTTGCATGACTTTATATCGCTTTCTCTATGAAGGTGAAGCTAATGGCATCCTTCAACCGGATTGCAGAACCTTCATCTACTACTTCTGTTTATAAGTCAGCCTGTACATAAACCTCTATCAATCCAGACACATCAATCTTTTTTTTTGACAGTAGAATAGTCATGAAATGTTAGGTTGGCTCATGTTCATGAATTAATTTGTTTTCATAGATTCAGATAAATCAACCATACAAAGAAATAGAAATATTGGCACAACACTTTCTCACCAGTTGTCTTAAAATTTCTTGTGGTAGATATTAAAATTCATCAAACAGACTTGCACGTGCTAAATTGGAGGTTCTAACATCTTACAATTCAAAATTTCAAAAAAGCATTCCTTTCGCTTATGTTAACACATATAAGTACATTATGTTTTTTCTATCCTTGAAATCCTTCAAACTTCAAAGTGCAGAAAAAGCAAAGTAATAAATTAGTGAGTGTTATCCACACCACATAGTATTAAATTATTTGACTAGGATTAGGCCTATCTATAAAGGACTATAGGAATAATCCTCCCTTATCCATAGTTTAAAATTTTGAACTAGCTAAACAATTTGATTTAAAATATGATTAACAGAAATGACATTGTAATATGCATCTGATAATTAATGAATTGAACTGTGGAATCTTTGCTGAATTTGTTTCTGTCACTTAATGCTGGTTCCACAAATATATGAAGAGACATTTTGACACCAAGCTCATTGCAGGAACCAACAAGTACTGATGAACAGATACAGAGCAATGAATTTGAAGTAAATAGTTCGCAGTCCAACGAATTTTCTATATGACGGACCTCTGGTCTCTGGACAAGTTGCTGAATTCTGATAATGGTGATCATATTGACTGATTGTACATGAAAATTCTTTCTATGTGAAGATAGGAAGAACATTTGGCACTAATTAACAGAGTCAGAGAGACCCTTTCATGAGTTTCATCCAACTCCTACCTTGTGATTTTATGGAGGTACGCCATTAAATCTTTTTGAAACCAAAGTATGGACTAGTCTTTCTTGAATATGACTTGGAGATATACTAGATGGTTCATTAACTGATAGTGTCGAATTTCTCCAAGTAATTACGATAATTCATGATTGAAGGAATCCATACAATACTGTTCTGAGTTATTCAGTTTTGTGCCTAAGTTAGGGTCAGATTTTTTCAAGTTGGAGAAAGAGAAAGTTTCACTTATATAAATCTAATTTAAAAAACAAAATATCAGCAGGAACTGTCAAACTCTTGATGATGAAAATGTGAAAATGATCTGTCTTGAAATGTTTCTTTCATCTGTTGCTGCAGATATGAAATATGAAATGATAGATTCTGGTAATAATAAGTTAATGATTCAATTTAATTTCTTTTCTTTTCTTCTAGACTTAAAAGACTTAATCTAGAAGTGTCGCTGAAGATAATTATACTGGCCTGTAATCAACATCATACCTCAAAAAAAGGCACAATCATTATGATAAAATCCGTAGATGATTAAGATTATTCAGTTATTTCACCACTAAAAAAGGCATTGCATAATTGCATTGCTTGGCTGATTGGAAATACCTCATGGAGACTTAGCATATATGTAATCCAAGTGGACCATTCTTGAACTGAAAGCACATAGAATAAACCACCCTCCATCTTTATAGGATTCATCTTAATCTGAATAGCTTATAGTAATACAAAATGCAGTATTAGAACCCTATAAAAGGCAAGCTTCCTAACATATCATTATAAAAGGCAAGTGTACAATAGAGCATCTAAACTTCAATTCAAAGAATTGTTTAACTTGAATACACTTCCATTATGAAGGTCAAGCTGATCCCATCATTCTACCGAACTCCAAAACCTTCATCAACTACTTCGGTTTGTTACCTTGTCAATCAGGACAGAAAACCTTTATCAATCCAAACACTTTCGTATCTTGTCCCTGACAGCAAAAATGATTCTGTCAATCATCTGGACAGCTATTTTGGTGCTGTTGCTGATGAATCAGTTGACATGAAGGCCTCAAGCTACATTTCTTCAGTTAAAGCACGCTTTAGGCATGAACTCCCTTATTCAGATTGAGTATACATTTAGGGCCAGAGTTTTGATATGTTCTTTCATACTGTGTCCGAGTCATTATGCTATACCTTGTATACAAATTGAGGTTATGGTAATAACTAGTTGTCTTTGTTACTCATTTTGAACCATTATTTGGATATAGGTGCTTATAAAGGGTCCTTTGGTAAAAGACAATTATATATATAAATACATACAATTATTTATTTGTGTAAAAACTGCTTTTATTACAAATTAATCTTTTTAAATTCAAAACTGTTATATACCTGTGTGCAACTATCAAATCCTCATAGTGAGGAACCACAAAAGGTGGAAAGTTGGCTATATAACTATTATCCAAATTTATATAAATACATTCAGGCATTTATTTTATGTAAAAGCTTCTTTTACCACAACTTGATCCTTTTTTAATACGAACCTGTAACATACCTGTGTACAACTCTATCAACTAATCATAGTTTGAAACCACAAAAGGCGGAAAGTTGGCTATAAAACTATCCAAATAATCCAATTAAAGTTAATTCTTGAGGCATAAACCAATGAGGATGTAAAAAGTATGTTCGTATTAATGGCATAACAGATGCTGTAAGACAATCTTGCCTTGAAAGTTAAGGATTCCTTCTGATTGCATCTGTATTTTTTCCTCTTGGTAAGGTTGTTGATTATTCATGAATTCCAATCTGTTCTTCCTTAGCAGCATCTGGTTCTACACTTCAATTATTGCAAGTTCCCTTAAGGTCTAATAAGTAACTTGTAATGGAAGTCCAAAAGTTCGAGTGAGCCACCAAAATTCTTTTTCCAGCATATTCCATCTTAATTGTTAATTTTAATACTTCGTATTGAACTTTTTTCATTTCTGAAATATACATATGATGGATCACAAGTATTAAAATCTTGAAATACAACTGGTACAGACCCCATCAAAATCTTTCTTATCTTGAACTTTATTTTGAATTATTTTCCCAATTAAGCTTTCTGACATTATTCTGCATCCTTGAGCCACGAAAGGATCATGTCATGATGATACTGATGATGAGACTCCGGTCTTATGAAACTTACTTAGGCATCCTTTAGTTTACTAGGGATCTTTTGGTACAAAGGTCATGTGCATGAACAATCTGACTCAGTTAACTTTTGATCCACTTGTGAATTGTTCTTATTTCTTCATGATGACCCAAAGAGAATGGTTTTTGAGTCGGTTGTTTGCTTTAGAAAGGCAAACACCTTAAAATTCATCACCAATAACAAAATGAATCTTAAAATTCATCACCAATAACAAAATGAATTTCCTTATCTTCAAAAGTCCACAAATTTTATTCGTTAACATCATCTTTCACTGGTTAGTTGCTATAAGAGTACGTCTAAAGTCAAACCACTTTGTTGGAATATCATCGTTTTCCTTAAACACTATTTCCTTCCCGGCCTCTCACCATAATCTTCTCCTCCTCAATCCCCTGTCTGCCTTTTAACCTCTAAATAAAGTGATAAAAGGTTCTTTGTAATAAAGCTTATTGGTCCATAAGTCCATTGCAAAATATACCAATACTACAAAATCCTATTAATCGAAATATACTATTCCCTCCATGGCTCCATCCTTGGTTCATCCCATGACAGGTTTAAAGCTTAGGGTGAGCCACTTTCTCATGTAGTCGTGGATATGCCTTCTATGTGTGCCAACATAAAATATTTCAACTCTCTGCCTCTAATTTAGTCAGCTTCTAAAATCAGAGGAGTTTTTGACCCACTTAACATATTCTAGTGACTTTACAATTGGACATATGCAGAGAGGTTCTTCAAAAAAATTATCTTACTTACCACCTTTTGTCACCAATATCAGATTTTTAATTTGGTTTTACCATAGGGAATAGATTTTCTGTACTGATCCTGATTTACAGGAACCTACAAAGTTGGACAACATTAAGACTTTTTAATTCCTTCTATCCCAGAGCTCCTAAGTACACGTGTAACAAGTGCACGATAATGCTAACAAGAAAAACATCCTATCTTTACTTGATTTGATTCCATTTCCCTTACCTTGATTAAAAATATGGTTAAAGATATAAATTAAACAATTAACTATAGAAAAGGGACTAGATTATGGAGGAGCTGAACTAGGATTGCTTCATTATCACCCTGATGGCGAATAAAAGCAAGTGTTCAGGTATGTTCTCTTTACACTAGCTAGTGTTTTTTCAGAATTATAAATAATTAGTACACGCGGATTAACCATTGTTTAGAAGGAATTATTAAGTGATTCGGTTAGATATTTTTTTTCACTTTTCAATGATTTGCATACTAGATTCTCCATTTCTCCTAATTGTTTAAACACTAAAGTTCTGTAAACAGATAAACTTTGATCAATTTAAAATCATTTAACCACCCTGAACATTAACCTACCCAATTGAGTTGAACCGTCATTTTCATACCTGAAGGAATATATTTCATTTTTATCTTTATAATAACTTTATGGACCACTAAAATATGCACCAAAAACTCACTACTTAAGGCCCCCTTCAGTTAGTGAAGAAGCCAACCACACAAAGGTAAACACATCAGTATACACTACACACACACAACAAAAATAGCAGAGATGGGAGTGGTCAGGACATCCTTCTTCAGAGCAGCAGAACCTTCATCGACTCTCAGATATGTGAGGCCGAATCAGACTTTTCCAACTGCCGCGTTGGTGGACTATGTTGTCAACCATGATGCCAAACCTCAGATGGCACGAAAAGTTTCGTTCATCACAGGGGACAGTTATAACTCTTACAAGCCAAATTCAGCCGAGGAGTCCAGTAACTACTTTGGAGCTCCTGCTGATGATTGTGTTGATTTTAAGGCTGCTAACTACATCCTCCAAAGGAAACTCAGCCTTCAATATGATTCTGATTAACAGCCGAGCTCTTACTATGAATGTAGAGCTTGAAAGTTGTCTTAATTCTCTGCTTTCTGGCTTTATAGTCTATGACTTTGTTTTTAGGAGTTGGAAACTGGAAGCACTATGTAAGTTTTCTTAATGAAACTAGCATCATGTGTAACAAAACCATAAACATATATAAATCTTCTGTTCTCTTGTACTTCCTTATATCTTGTCCTCTGATCCTGCTAGGTATCGAGCTTAGATTAAGTTATACTTCGTAGTATATATTCTTTGGTTTTTCCAGAAGCAACTGTTTTGTATGCTTAAATCATAGATGTCCACCGTAGCAAAGTTTAAGAACATTTGGATGGTTCCATAAAGAAATCACTGTGTAAGAACAGTCACAAAATGAACATGGTAATTTTTTGTTCATGGTAATTTTTACTATGACTATAAACCAAATGTCACTCTATGACCTTGAAGAAAATGCGCCTACATAGTTTTTTCTGGTCACTCCTACATGATTAAGATCCCGTCAAATTTTATTTTTTTTTAAAAATAAAAGTAAAAAAAGAAATGGGCTTATATCGGCGATAAACTAGGGTAGTGAATAAAATTGGGACATCTACAGGTCCAATAAGAGACTGGTCTTATACAATCAAAGCCCATCTGTGGATTTACGACTCCTTTGTTAAAATCAGAAGACGTGGAAATTACAATGTTATATACAACACTTGTATACTTGATTTCATTGTTCAATCAAATACGGATTAGAAAATTTTCCACTTTGGTATCCTGAGGTTTGACTTAATTTCTCTTCATTACCCTATGCTAACGGATTTTCAATTTTGGGGATTGAAGAACATTCCATGGTAAAAATAAAAATAAAAAAAATAAAAAAAGCTTACATAAATCTTGAACACAAATTATTTTATGTTTAAAGTTTAAGCCTAAAATCCAAAATAATTATTCATACGATGATTAAGAAAATCAGTAGAATTATTGTATACGAAGTATATGTTATATACCTAACTCAAAATTATTGATCAAATTGTAAAATCCTTATGAGTTAACATTAAATACCAATCAAGTGTTCAATCTAGGCATTAGCAAGAAGAAACCATTAATTACAATTATAGCCCAAAACTAGTCTGGAAATTTAGCCATATGCATGTGTAAGATATTATCCCTCAATCGATTATGCGATTATTGCAAATATTAGCAGATTTAGCTATACGTAAATTAACAATAATGTAATAGTCTCTCAAGGATTTTCTTTAGGAGTTTTTTTTTTGAAAGGAGACATAGAGCATCATATATTAAGAGGAAAGGTCCATACCGGACAAAGTTACAATAATCTGAGGGAAATTGCTAAAACGAATATACTCCGCATTTCCACCCGTATCATCCCTAGCTATAAGATGAGCTACGGTATTACAACTCCTCTTAGCATGAGAAAATAAACAAACATTAAAACTTGCTCTATCGACTCTAATATCATCATAGACTAAATCAATAGGAGAAAGCCCACCATCATGATAAGAAATAGCCTTGATCATATTAATAGCATCCGATTCCACCCACAAATTAATGTAGCCAAACCGAAGTGCTAACCTCAGCGCATATCTCACTGCTTGTGCCTCCACACACTCGGGGTTCGAGAGCTCCACCCTCTTTGTTGCTGTCATGATAAGGCAGCCTTTATCATCTCTAAAGACAACCCCCAGACCTGCTGACCCTGCACTCGGGACATAGGCATCAACATTTGCCTTGATGCATCCCAGAGGTGGGCACTTCCACACCACGCTGCTGCCCTGAACCTGCTGCACAGAGAGTTTAAAAACCTTTGTGGCATATTCCTCATAATCTTGCACTAATGTACAATACCCCGTTGCTAGCATCACCACATCAGGTTCTTTTCCTTCAAAAATCCATAGATTACGACAGCGCCATGAAGCCCACATCAAAGCTGCCATACGCAGCAACACCTTACTCTCTACCCTGCTGTGTAGCCACTCCCACCTTTCTGCAAAAGATTCAGTTGGAGCATCAGCCAACTGATCCATCAAACCACTATGACCCCAAATTTCAGCAGCAGCTTTGCATTCAAAGAGAGCATGAATAATAGTCTCTCGATATGCCCCACAAATCTGGCAGGAAGAATTCTCAGTAATGTGACGTTGCCTCAATCGATCTTTGACAGAGAGATTACCTTTTACCGCCCCCAAAGGAAGTGTTTAATTTTTGGAGGCCCTTTCATATTCCAAACAGATTTCCAAAGCTCTTCATTATCGGCCACCATAGCATTTCCATCCTCGACCCCTCTGGCTAACCAGTAGCACGATTTTACAGAGAAAAAGCCACTCTTTGTACAGCACCAAAATCAGCTATCTGATCTTGAATGGTGGGAAATAGGAGTTGCAAGTATCATAGCAGCAGTAGTATTATCCACAAGCCCCCTGATTTTCTCAGCATCCCAATCGCAACCACTTACAGTCAATAACTCGTGCACCAGCATGTTCTCCTCCGCCCCATCAGGTTGTTGCACACAAATAGGCTTACCATCCTTCACTAACCAAGCATCTTTCCACGCTCGAATATTAGCCCCATTCCCTACTCTCCACACAAGGCCATCACGAAGCAAGCCCTTCGCACCCCAAATACTTCTCCAAGTATAACTCGGATCATATCCTCTCCTAGCTTCCATAACACAAGTGTTCTTAAATATCGAGCTTTGAGAATTTTTTATGCTAAGCATTCCGAATTAGACATTAAACGCCATACTTGTTTCGCCAATAGAGCTTGGTTGAAACATTTTAGATCTCGGAACCCCATACCCCCTTTTGCCTTTGGTAGACATAGCTTCTCCCAACTTTGCCAATGCAACTTCCTATTATCAACTGTAGATCCCCACCAAAACCTACATAAGAGTATGAATTTCATCAATTAAGCCCTCCGGAATTTTAAATAGACTCATCATATAGGTAGGGATGGCTTGAGCAACTGCTTTGATCAAAACTTCCTTCCCCGGCTTTGAAAGAAGTTTCTCCTTCCACCCATTCAATTTCTTCCAAATTCTCTCCTTTAAGATCGAAAAATGACTTTCTTAGATTTCCCAATTATCGTCGGCAATCCCAAATACTTCTCATGTCTTTCAACCTCTCGAATTCCTAGAGCCTCCACAATCGCCTGTCTCCTTTCAATTGTTACACATTTGCTAAAAGCAACCTCCGTCTTATCTAGATTGACTTTCTGACCAGATGCTCTTTCATATATACTGATAATATCAGCTATTTTCGAACATTCCTGCAGAGTAGCTTTAGCAAACAAAATACTATCATCGGCAAAAAACAAATGAGACACCCTAGGAGCCGCATAGCACACCCTCGCCCCACTAATCTTCTTTTCACTTGCAGCTTTTGTAATAAGACCCGAGAAAGCATCTGCACACAAGAGGAACAAATAGGGGGAAATAGGATCTCCTTGCCGTAAACCACGAGTCGGAACAACCGATCCACATATCTCATTATTCACTTTAAAAGAAAATGAGACGCTGGAAATACAATCCATCACCCGGTGAACCCACCCATCAGAAAACCCCAATTTACACATAACCATCTTCAAAAAACACCATTCCACCCTGTCATATGCCTTACTCATATCCAACTTGAGTGCAACATTACCCTGTCTCCCACCACCCCCTCTTTTCATCGAATGGAATATTTCAAAAGCAGCCATGGCATTATCAGTGATTAAACGGCCCGGAATAAAAGCACTCTGATTTATCGAAATTATGTCATTCAGAAAAGGTTTGATCTTATTTGCCAAAGTCTTCGAAATAATTTTATAAATTACATTACAACAACTTATAGGCCTAAATTCAGTCATGTATTTCAGATCATCACATTTAGGAATCAACACAATACAAGTCCTATTAATCTCCGAAATATCAATCAAACCATTCCACCAATTTTTAACCAGAGCAACAATATCAGAGCCAATAATGTGCCAAAATTTCTGAAAAAATAATGCGTGCATTCCATCCGTACCTGGTGCTTTATTCGGGTGCATTTGAAATAAAGCATCCTTGATCTCATCAGCGTCTGGCTCCTCATCCATAGCATTATTCATCACCTGCGTAACACAATGCTGTACACCCTCAAGAGCAGCCTCAAATTGAGAAGGATTGTCAGTCGAAAATAGAGACTCAAAATATTTTGGCACAATATTCTTAATCTGCACCTCATTCGCACACCAAACCCCATCCGAATCAAAAAGCCCTCCAATTCGGTTTTTTTTCTTCCGTTGACTTGCTTTCCTGTGAAAATATGCAGTATTTTTGTCTCCGTCTCTCATCTCGTTTGCACGGGCTCTAGCATACCAATAAGACTCCTCCAACCTTCGTAGTTCATTTATTTCATCCGCAAGTTGTTCACATCTCGCAAGCATTGCAGCATCTACCTGAGCTCCCTGCGCATCTTGAAGGTCAGCCTCACAATCTTTTATCTTTTTCTTCACCTCTCCAAATGATAATGCTGCCCACTTAGACAAACGATCCGCACAATAAGCAATCCGGTGATGCGGTTCTCTTCCTTCACTATCCTTCCATGCCTTGGAGACCACCTCCCCACATTCATCCTTCGACAACCACAAAGCTTCGAACCGGAAAAGTTTTTTCCCCTTCTTCCCCTTTCGTGATAATTAATAGTGTCTAGCAATATTGGGGTGTGGTCTGATGCTACTCGAACAAGATGTTGTACTACAAAATTGGGAAAAATAGAACACCACTCGTCACTCCCAAGAAAGCGGTCAAGTCGCTCGCGAATGACCGTATCCACATTGGTACCCCTCTGCCAAGTAAATATACAACCCTTATAGCCTAAGTCACGAAGAGCACACGAGTCAATGGCATCCCGAAACGCATCCATCAAACATTCCCTCCTTACCGCTCCACCATCTTTCTCGGCCATACTGACAATTTCATTAAAGTCACCAAACATGAGATACGGAATATCACACGACTGTTTTAAGTTTCGCATCAAATCCCACGTTTTATACTTGTTCTCGGTTTCCGGCCAACCATAAATACCCATAGCCCTCCACAAAGGAGTCCCATCCCCATCACGTATATTTGCACTAAAATGATGGATGGAGTATGACAACATTTCCACATTTAACTCACGCCACCAGAAACACATACCGCCAGATCTCCCTACACTACTAAGACAAATGCCATTTTCGAAACCACACCGTCTTTTAATCCTCTCCGTCACACTACTATCAACCTTAGTCTCCATTAAAAAGACTTTGTTCGGCCTCTCTCTCCAACATACATCTCGGAGAGTCCTCTCCGTCCATGGGTTGCCAATCCCATAGACGTTCCAACTCAAGATTTTCATTGCCCTTCGAGGGGTTGGCTTCTCCCAACACCCTCTACTTGGATATAACTGTCCCCAGTGAGTGTAACCCCAACAGCTCTTCTTTTCGTCTCAACTCCATCATACTCATTCATTACTATATCACTCTCCCCCAAATCAAGCCCCCTCTTTTTTGTCATAGTAATATTGTTACCCACCCCCTCCCTGACATTGCTTCCCTGGTAACCCTCCTCCATTCTCTCCACCCTTTTTTCTTGTCCTTCCCCGTAATAATATTCAAGTCAGACCCCTGCTGTCCCCTACTGCTCTCCTTCACCGACCCAGTCCCAGCTAGCTCCCCAATATCACCCATATTATTTGTTGCCCCCTGCCCCACCACCATATTACCCCCCCTGTAGTATTAGAAGGAATACCCTCCACCTTCTCATGCCCCTCCATATTACTCTCTAAACTCTCAACATCAATTCTCCCTCCACTAGTAACACCCCCTCCCTTAAGAACACCACCACCATCAACCACACACTTAGGTCTTAGCACCATTTTATTACTGCTAGGATCAAGCACCGTCGCCAAACTAACTTCCCTCTCCTTCGGTTTCACTGCAGAAGCTCCATCCTTTGTTGGGGTAAAAAGAAGTTTCCTAGCCGCACCAACTGGGCCAAGTCTAATACTTTGTTTCACATTTTCCCCACTTCGACCCTTACGTAGCACATCAATTTTCTCAGCCCATACTCTTTCTTTTTCCCTCGCAGTAAAATTCTTCATCGATGGTTTAGGTGGAGAAGCTCTTAGCCAAGTACCATATTGATATACGATCGTATCAGCCGCCTCTCTTTCCAACTGCCTTACTGCACATTCTTTATCAGTATGGTCCAACATGCCACAGAAAAAGCAAAAATCGCCTATTTAATATCAATCCACTTTGACTGTGAGTTCCCTGTTGCAATGAAGACTCCTCTCCGCAGCGGTTTCCTCACATCAACAATAATTTTTAATCTCATGAATTCACTCCAGCCAAGGGGATCCGAATCATCGAATTCAAGAAAACCACCCAAAGATTCACCAATGTCATACATTGTTGAAGAATTGCGCCTATTGAAAGGGACGTCCAGTAATCTAATCCACATTGGTGATTTATCGAAAACCACCTCAGACGGTTGTTCACCGCCCTGAATATCCTTTAGAACCAGCAATTTACCATCAAAGAACCAAAGGCTCCCCTCAATGATACGGTTCTTATCAGGTTCAGAAAAAAATTGAAAAACGAACAAGTTTGTATCCACCATTTTGATTGCAACATTATCATCCAATCGCCAAATACCCAGCAGAGTTCTCTTCATAGCTTCAACATTAAAAGTCTTAACTGTCCACAATTTACCCACCAAAACCAGACGGAGTTGTTCCTTCGATTCATCCACATCCTCGATCTCGCCGTTCACACCAATAACCTTATTTTCATCATCAGTTAACTTAAATTTTTCCCAATCCTTCAGAAGATCGTCCTCCATAATTACGAATCAGATGTTGGGAATATACGTTTAGAAATTAATGAATTGGGGATTACGAAATCAACAACGGAAGAAACGCACAACAAACCCTAAGCAAAGGACTACTAAACCCTAAGCAAAGGACTTACATATTTTCTTTAGGAGTTATGCAAGCATAAAATTGTGAAACCAAAACATCAAGGATTTTCTATTAACAAAAGTCAGAATCACCCAAAATATAAAAACTATAATAAAAGAAATAATAAGGAAAAAAAAAAAAGAAAGAAAGAAATCAAAGAAACCCTAATTACTCTAGCTCTAGTGCTTTAGTACATGGAAGTGAAAATTGCTACTGAAATAAATTAGATATACTCTACTTGAAAAGAATTAAGCCAATAATAAGCCACAATCTTTATTAATTGACTTTACTAAACTCTTACAATTCATAAATGTAACCAACAAACGTACCTAATAAAACTAAAACTAATAAACAATAACGTAACAACCCTAACAAATAATAATCAAAACATCAAAGAATTAATTGAATGATGATTATTGATGAGTAAACTATCTAGAATAAATCTCCATCATACATGAGATCGATTGATCAACAATCATGGACAAATTAATTAAACTTAATCCTCAAAAGAGAATGTGTGCCCTATTGCAGTTCCAAATACCATGACAGGTTTTGCTTTAACAATAACAAAGTGAAGAGCGTTGTTGTACCGAAACGTTGCAACAAGAATGTAATCATCTTCTTGTAACCCATTCTCCTTCTTCAGCCTAGGCCACTCCCGTCTTTTCCCCGACTTCAAAACATACTTAAATCCGGGATCATCCTTGTTGTTGTTGTTGTCGTTGTTGTTCTTCTTATTTTTATCAAAATAATTCCATTTACTAAGGGGCATCACGTACACGAACGATCCCATGATGACCTTGACGTTGATATCCGCCTTTTTAAGAAGCTCTTTCTATTTGTTAGAAACGACGTGTCAAGTTTTTCTGCTGTGAGGGCTAGTCGTGCTTGTTGAGGTGCCATGTCAGATGGAGTCATTCTCTTTTCCATAATTATTTTCACTTCGCTGATATCTTCTTTGTTGTATCCCAAATTACGCCTCACATGCTCAATAATTGAGGCTTTAGTAGCATCTTTATTATAATCAACAAAACATAATTTATTATTACCACTTTTATTGTTAGGCTTCTTGACCCTCTTCTTCTTAGGTTTGCTGTTGTTACTCATCACGTGCACGGGGGGTTTAAGCTCGACTTTCGAGGCCTCGGGTTGTTGTGATGATGGTTTGGCAAAGGTAATTTTGAGGTTGTAATTAGGGCTTCTCATAATGTAACACTCTCTTTGTATCTTGGATTTTGGTTCATCATCATCTTCGGAATTAGGTTTTGTTGCAATTGGAGATGAATTTGGTGTTAGTAAGGAAGACAAGGTTGTAGCATTGCTTCGTTTCTTGTTGATCAAGGTTGTGGTGGTGTTTTCTTGGGTTTGTGATTTCTCCATTATCGAAATCGATCAAGAAAGAAGAAAGATGAACAAGAGAGAATGATTTCAAGGGAATGAATTGAATGAAGGTAGCTAAGTGCTTAATGAATAAGTATATATAGGAAAAATGAATCAAGAGTTTGGGATGATTTAGGAGTGAATAAACGTTGTGAGCAAGTTACCTAAAATATCTGTTTTAGTAGTAATATGATAGTTTTTTAGGAAATAAAATCCAAAGATTTTGTACAAAAATTTAAAAAATGATAAATTTATTTTAAGAAATGATATCTAAAAACCTCGATTATGATTGGATGTGTACGAGAGGATATCATCATATCAGGTACGTTATTTAAGAAGATCAGATACTCTAATATTTTAGGAAACTTATTTATATACTAGGAGTATTATTAGCTAAGCTGAGTTTTGTTTATATAAAATCTGATCTTTTTCAATGTGATGATATGAATATAATTCATCTTTTAAATAATTACTCCCCACAGTTATAGTCCAAGAATGATAAATTTACGAAATTGGCCACCAAAACTTATGCAATGGCAATAAGTCCATATTTAATGGATTTCTTAGTTTATGTACAATCTAATTCATTCATTTTTTTTTTAATTACATCAATTGGAGTGTATAGTTTGGAGTTTTACACTTGTCAATGCAAAATGTTGTTCATTAATATCTTTGATTTGCTTATAGTAAAAAAATATATATAAATTTTGAATTGAAACTAACAAATCAAGACTTAGGCCCAGTTCTCTTCACCTTCAAAAAATAATATTAAGTAAAAATAATTTCAGTTCAGTAAAAATTCAGTTCAGTAAAAATAAGTTCAATTTAGTAAAATTAATTTCAGTTCAGTAAAAATAAGTTCAGTTTAGTAAAATTCAGTTTTCTTAAAAAAGAATTATAATAGAAAATCAGTAAAAATAATTTCAGTTCAGCAAAAATAATTTCAGTTTAGTAAAATTAATTTAAGTTCGGTAAAAATAATTTAAGTTCAGCAAATATAATTTTGTTTCAGTAAAAATAATTTCAATTCAACAAAAATAAGGTGAAGAGAACAGAACCTTTTTTAATAAGATCCTCTCAATTTAAAAATAAATAACAAATTAAATTTTCCCATTTTTTATGAGCTTTAATTTGAAAAATCCTTCCCAACCAATTACAAACACTGAAGTCACAATCAAGCTAAGTAAGCTAAGCTCATTTCTTTTTGTGTCTTGGCTAATAATTTTGGGCGTTTTCTTAAATATGGGTTCCTGACTCAATTTAATTGGAGGTTTTATGAAATTAGGGTTCTTGACACAATTTAATGGGGATTTAGTGAAGGACTTTTTGTCAAAAACTACCTAATAAAACCTAAATTTTGTGAGAAACTACTTGATAAAAAAATTGTATGAAACTATCTAATAAATGGTAAAATGTTGTAAGATACTACCTTTAGCTGAATTTCCACTGTTATCCTAATTTTATGGCGTTGACCCATCACAAAATACCCCCAAAAACCACCGAGGGGGTTGGTTTTCAAGGTGATAGGGTTGGATCCGAAGGATATACTGAGTTGGTGATGATTGAGGGTAGTTTCGTGCTTCTGGATGGTGGTTTTGGGCCGAGTTGGAGGGTGTCTTTCGGTGTGGTGGAGGTAATTTCATGTAGGTTGTGGTGGTTTTGTGGTTGGAGGGTGGTTTTCGGCATGGCGAAGGTAATTTCATGTAGGTCGTGGTGGTTATTGGGGATGAAAGTGATGGTTTCGGGGGTGTTTTGAGGTGGGCCAGCGGTGAAAATTCGGCAGAGGTAGTAATTTACAATATTTTACCTTTTTTTAAATAGTTTCTTGCAACATTTAACATTTTATTAAGTAGTTTCTTACAATATTTTTTTTATTAGGTAGTTTCTCAACAAATCTAGATTTTATTAGATAGTTTAATTTCTGACAAAAAGTCATTTTATGAAATTAGGTTTCTGACAGAAATTGATTGGTTTTTTTTTTTTTTTTGAAATTAGAGTTCTTAGCACAATTAAATTGCTCTAGCTCTAGTGCTTTAGTACATGGAAGTGAAAATTGCTACTGTAATAAATTAGATACACTCATATTGAAAAGAATTAAGCCAATAATAAGCCACAATCTTTATTAATTGACTATACTAAATTTTCTTAGCGAGTCATGTAGGATTATAAATTTTTGTCGCAACCAGTGAAATAAGAGATTATTAATTTCTTTTAAAATTAAATAATTCATCAAACGCCACATAGGCAAAATTGGCGAATGAAATTTTTAAGGTTAAATTAATTAATTATTATATATTATCTTTTAATATTAGGAATTTTATCAAAATATATAACAAATTTTAACACATTAATGCAAAAAAAAAATATTTTAAAAAAAGTCAAACAAATCGTGTATGGTACCACTAAATTATTACAATAATTCAATTCATAACTTCTTGATGCAACTAACCGAGAGTGTAGCTAAATATAATCATATCATGTAACTAATATATAAAGCTAAACTTTTATCCAGGTCACGAGGCAACGACACTTGGCATTCTAACTTTTCGCCAAGTGTCGCGCCACGTTGGATAGATTAAATACACTTCAAAGATAAAAAAGTTAGTTTAGAATTTTATTATGAATTAAATTTGTATAGAATTTTAAGATAAAATTGTTAATTTAGAATTTTATTTTCAATAAAATAAAATTTGAGTGTCGCGTCACGTTGTATAGTTTTAAATCAACTTCATAAACAAACCCGGGCATCGCACGGGGCACAAAACTAGTTCATAATACTTTTAAACATCGTATGATATTAATTAAACAACCCTAACAAATAATAATCAAACCATCTAAGAATTGGATAAGTAAGCTAATAAGAATTTATTTTT